GGTCCCCCCCCCCCGACGGAGGGGTGTGGTGTAGGGAGTGCTACCCCGACAGGCCCATTCTATCAAGACCAGTTTCCTCCACACAGAAGCGCAGATTATTTTACCAAACAAGGAACAGACTTAAAGGTCATGTTTTCAATGGGGAAAGAAAAAAAAAATTCTCCAGGGCAGTCTTAGTATATAATCATTCAAGCCGGGCCTGAAACAAGGTTTTCCATTTTAGGTGGCATTTCTGTTCTAAATCAACTCCCATCTAAAGCCGTCGCGGGGTGTTGCGGGCCCTCAGTTAGTAACTACGGGAACCGGACGCGTGGTCTGCGTTTTCCCCTCACCGGTGGCGTGATCTGAGCCGGTCAGCGGATCAACCTCTTTGGGTTTCCATGTCCCTAGTTGTAAACCAGAGATTTCTAGCTTACCGGACCTGGTCCCCATAGTTGGTCCCATAGGACCCACAGAGAACTATTTCCAAGGTGTTAACAGGTCGGTTAGAAGATTAACAAGCTGCTAACCAACCTCCAACAAGAGCGTCTGCTGTACCATTTTACCTCGGATAGTTCTAGAAAAGCCTTTGAACCCAATCTCCGCACACAAGCATTCAGGCGAACTTGAGCCAGCGCTTGCCCTAGACAGACACACAGATTGCGGGAAACACAGAACACTGATCGCTGGCTTTCTAGAACATTCCGTGTTTCTATTTATGGCCACGTCAAAAGAGAGCTACTGAAATGCCACGGTTCTGGAAGTAGGGCACTGTAATTTATAATTCTCTTTACAATTCTTATTTCTCGCCTTGTTATCGTTTACCCCAAGGCGATCCTTTATTTTGTGTTCATTGAAAATAACAAACACTGAAGTTTGTAGGATACGAAACCGGTGAGCAGAAAGACTGGATCTTTTTCGCTACACGTGAGTCGGGTCTAAGCCTGGGCGGCGTCAGGATGGAGGATTCACCCCGCGGGCCTGGGGGGCTGGGTGGCAAAGCCGAGGGCCTGTCCAGACAATCACAGCGCCCTGGTGGGGACGACATCTTCTGTGAGGCCTGGGATGCTCCAAGTGGGCGTGTGTGGTCCCTTCGACGTCCCTTACAGGCTCTTTCCCCCGAACTACAGAGCAGAGCTAAGCTGAGGGGACTGCGCCAGAGACACTAACCGGGCAGCAAATGCGAACCCACGTTTCGCACCGAGCCTCCGGCCCGCCTTTGGTTTGCGGGGTTTATGCCGATGTTACGGGCGGCACAGGCCTCACCGCACAGGCGTGGCAGCACCTGGAGCAGGGCCCCGCGCGTGCCTGAGGGTTTCGCAGCAGCCTTCCCCGCCTGTGGCCCTTCACCCTCCACGTGTGCGGCCGGGGACGCCGTGGAAGGGGCAGTGGGACCTGCACAGATGCTGGAAACGGGCTGCTGGCTTTTGCAGGCCCGTGCGGCCCGCCTGCTGCTCGGATCGGGTGTGAGAACCGGCGGTGAGGCCTGTGAAAGGCTTTCAGGATGACGCCTGGCGGCTCAGTGAATGATGCCGTGGGCATTTCCGTGGCTACTCAACGTGGAAGGCCCTGCCTGGGTGTGGCCGTGGCCGTGGCCGTGTCCACCGCACACAAGGGAGGTGAAGCCGTTTTAAGGAATGATGTCCTTCCTATTAAGTAGCCAATGTGGGCATTTCCGTGGCCACTCAACGCGAAAGGCGCTGCCTGGGTGTGGCCGTGGCCGTGGCCGTGTCCACCACACACAAGGGAGGTGAAGCGGTTTTAAGGATCGATGTCCCATTAAGTAGCCAATGTAGGCAGGCCTAATTTTGATAGTTTGCTAATAGTCCTAAGTCCAGTTCTCTTTTTTAAATTTATTGATTGGTTTTTAGAGAGAGAGGAAGGGGAAGAGAAAGGGAGAGACAGAGAGAAACGTGGATTTGCTGCTCCGCTTACTGATGCATCACTGGTTGGTTCTTGCATGTGCCCTGACCGTGGCTCGAACCTGCAGCCTTGGCGTATCCGGATGATGCTCTAACCCACTGCGCCACCCGGCCAGGGCCTCTTCTCTCTCTTTTTATAATTTTGTTTTTCAATTACAGTTGACATTCAACCTTGTTTTGTATTTGTCTCAGAGGTGCAGCCGACGGGTCGGACAATCCTACTTTACAAAGCGGCCCCCCGGTATTTCCAGCGCCCACCCAAGCAACTCCAGGACGGGTTGCCTTTGTGGCCTCCTTAGGAAATCAACCCGCCGAACTCTGACTTGAAACAAAAGAAAGGCGTTTATCCGCAAGATGAGTTCCTTTTTATTTTTTAACGAACATTTAAGGCTCATGTACAAAAGCTAACAGAGCAATACGTCAACCATGAGACACGCACGAGGAGATAAAACGGGAGGGGACTCGGCGACGGTTTCTCACCACGGAAGCGTCACACTGGCTGCAGCGAGGTGGTCGGAGCTTGAGACAGCGGACACAGGCCAAACGCCAAACTGCGCTCCCGCCACTCTCCGGCTTCACGTCTCTTCGGCCTCGGTCACCGTTCAGCTAGTGGGGGGGCGGCTGAAGAACAGGGAATACGTTTCTTCCCCCCTCGCGCCCCCCAAAAAGATTTTTTAAGCAGTGAATTTTTTTTTTCCCCGGGGGAAATCATTTATCTGTGGACCTAACACACCGCATGTTCTGTCATTAAATTTGCATAAATATTTGGCTAGTCTATTTTGTAAAGTGAGATCATGCAGGACGCTAATTTCTGAAGAGTAAGAATTATCAAAGGCGATTCGTTTGGTACATAAACGCTCACAGTCTCCTTTTGAATGAAAATGTGCTCTTTGTGTTTGTTTTTTGTTTGTTTCTTGCAAAGATTTGGTCAAGTAATAACCGTGAGCATTTCCTAAAATATTTCTCTGCTGGGAAACTTTGTATGAAATGACATCGGAAGTATAAAAAAAACCGCGTTAGGTAACCCTTGGAACAGTTAAAAATAGACGTATCTTGTTTGTAAACTATCGATGTCAGATACCGAGCGTCTGAGCGTCAGAGCCGTTCGGGTTTTCTAGAGAGTTCTTCAGTTGGCCATCCACGCAACACCTCCGAAACATCTGACGTTACATGTAGAAACATCAAGGCAATAGTATTTGTACATAGTATTAAACATGCAAACGTTTCCCGAACGGCCGTCCCCAGGGGGGCAGTGCCTCTGGCCCGGGCCCGGGCGCCGCGCCTCGGGGAGTCGGGCCCCTGGCCGCGGGGGGCGAGGCGGGTCACTTCGGAGGCGAGGCCCCCTTAATCACGGGCTCCCTGTTCAAATACGTCGCCCAGTAAACCAGGTTGAAGGTGCCGAACAGGACGGGGAATACAATTCGGGACATCTTGTCGATCTTGCTGATGCTGTTGTAAGTCTTTCTGCTCTCGGGGGGCTTGTCCTCGGGAGGGTTTGCGGAGGCGGCGGCCCCGCCGGAGGTGCCCGGGGCCGGCTCCTGCGGGATGTTGGGGGCGTGGGTCATCCTCCCGGTGGTATAGGCGTTCGTTGACTTACTGAGTGTGAGCTCACGCTGCTTTTTCTGCAAAACAGTAGGAGAACGTAACGGCAACGGCCGTTCACCGGCAGCTGCGAGCTCGCTTCTAAAGGTGTATCTGCGGAAAGAGGGAGAACCGTCCCCTCCGCCCCGGCAGAGGGCAGGCTCCAGGGACTCGGGCGTGAGAACCTGCAAGTCGGTTTCTGTTGTTAAATCTCGCCCCGGGATGTTTTTTTCCATTGATTTTAGAGAGAGTGGGAGGGAGGGAAGGGAGAGAGAGAGAGAAACGTGGATGAGAGAGAGACATGGATCGGCTGCCTCCCGCACGCGCCCCGATCGGCGCTGGCATCGAACCTGCAACCCAGGCACGTGCCCTTGACCGGGAATCGAACCTGAGACCCTCCGGTGCTCGGGCTGAGGCTCTAACCACACCGGCCAGGCCGGGGAGGTCCTTCTGTTAGGGGCGGGGAGGCAGGACGGACACACACCTGGCCTTGCGTTTTGAACTTCGGATCGGGCCCGTTTTCTCAGCGACGTGAACCTGGAGGAAGGGGGGGAGGGAGGGAGCCAGTACCTTGATCTTGGCAGCTTCCAGGGCCTTCTTGCCGTCCCAGGCCCAGCCCCGCTTGGTGAAGTAGTTGACGGTGGCGAACTCGATGAGCGCGGAGAACACGAAGGCGTAGCACACGGCGATGAACCAGTCCATGGCCGTGGCGTAGGCCACCTTGGGCAGCGAGTTCCGGGCGCTGATGCTGAGCGTGGTCATGGTCAGCACCGTGGTCACCCCTGGGGACGGGGGAGAGGAAAACGGGTCGGCGCGGGTACCAGGACCCTAGGTGACACCGGGACGCGACCGACAAGGACGGGGAAGGCACTGGGCACTTGTGCCCCAGCCCAGACCCCTAGTTCAGTGGTTTCCGTACACTTCGCACATTCGTAACGTTTAAAATATTGCCCTGGCCGGCGTGGCTCAGCGGTTGAGCCTCGACCTGGGATCCAGGCGATCGGGGTTCGATTCCCGGCCAGGGCACAGGCCCGGGTTGCGGGCTCGGTCAATGACTCTCTCATCAGGGATGTTTCTGTCTCTCTCTCTCCCTCTCCTTTCCTCCCTCTGAAATCAATAAAGATATATATATATATAAAAAAGACCAAACCAGTACACATTTAAAAAATATATATATTGCTTATTGTGTTTATTCGTGGCCTGACTCAGGGGCTAGAGCGTCAGCCCCGCACCAGAGGGTCAAGGGCACCCACCCGGGTTGCAGGTTTGACCCCAGCCCTGGTCCGGGCCTGCGCGGGAGGCAACCAATCGGTGTGTCTCTCTCCCTCTCTCCCTCCCGCCCTCTCTGAAAATATCAACGGAAAAACTATCCTAGTGTGACGATTAACAACCACAACGAGGTGCTGTGCACGCCCCACACCGCGGGCCACAGGCACGGCCACGCGGCAGCCTCGCCTCCACCTGGACGAACCCGCCCCAGGCTTCCGGGCACCATGTGAGAACCGGGTCTCGGCACTTCACTCCCTCCCAGACGGTCAGGGTCCCCTCGACGTGGCCGGGCTGGCTGCCTCGCCCGCCTGGGGAACTGGCAGCGACTGTACAGCCCGCCGGCCCCCTTGGGGGCGAGCGACAGCGGGCCGGGCCTGGCAGATCGCGAGCCACCCGCAGGGCATCTACTAAGCGCCAGGCTCTGATCTCAGCCACGTTCTGCATGGGTATTGCTACCCCCGCTTTGCAGGCGGGAAGCTTAACATTTTTAATAGTTAGCAATGCGCCCAACTTTCCAGCTGGGAAGCGGGGTCTGCATTTGGCCCCCGGGCTGGAGGACCCTTCCGGCCACGCGCCTCCACGCGCACAGCGTGGCCCTTCTCACCGTGGTTCTGTCTGCACCAGGGAGCAGCGTGCCCGTCGTGGGCTGAACTGTGACCCCCAAATCCACACGTTCAAGTCCTAACCTCCAGAGCTCCACGTGTGGCCTAACTTGGAATCAGTCGGACAGAAGCGATCAGATTGGGGTCCTAAGGTGCTCCGGGCGAGCCCCATCCCACGTGGCAGGTGTCGGGGATGCGCACCCGGGGAGAGCTCGTGTGGAGACCGGAGCCCGCGGCCACAAGCCAAGGACCACGGGAAGTCGGGGGAGAGGCCTGAGCAGAGTGTCCGGCAGCCCTCAGAAGGGACCTGGCTGCGGCACCTTGACCTTGGCCAGGCGGCCCCCAGGGCTGTGCGATCACTCACCTCTGTGGCTTAAACCCGGCACCCGGCACCCCTGGGAAACCAACACAGCGCTGTGGGTGAAAAGGGGCCACAGCCAGCCCTGACAGCTCGGCCCGCGCCGTGGCCTTGCGAACCCAGGGACACAAAGCGGCCACGTAGGGTGGCCTGAAATTGAGACGTCCTAACTGAAAGCGAGTCGCGGCGGGCAGTCACGGCCTAGGCTGGCATCGTCCCTGACAAAGGTCAGCCTTTCCCTGCACTGAGCCTGTCTGCTGTCCTCCGGCACCGAGGATCACACGCCTCTGGAACGTCAGAGTGACCTTCTCCAGACCCCTCAGGACACAGCCTCCCTGCAGAACAGAGGCCACAGGGCCCCTCGCTGTTACGTGGTCCCCGCACATCTCCGTGGGCCGTAAAGGCGACCGTTAACTATCCTGCGCCCACCCGTGTCAAGGAAACGCGCGTCTATCATTTTACCTTTTACCCAAACTCAGAGGTTTCTCCACTGGGCTTTCTCCCGCCTCCCTAATCGATCACCAGTGGGTTTCATGTAACTCCCTTCTGTCTCCCCTTTGATTCTAAGGTGTAAATTAGCTGCAAAACTGCCATTTTCCCCATCCGTTGAGATTTCACTTCCTGGCAACTGCTGTCAGTTTGGCTCAAATAAACTCCTAAAAATTCTTACAGGTCTGCCCGGCCGGGCGCGGCTCAGCGGCTGAGCGTCGACCTAGGATCCAGGCGATCGGGGTTCGATTCCCGCTCAGGGCACAGGCCCGGGTTGTGGGCTCGATCAATGACTCTCTCATCATTGATGTTTCTCTCTCTCCCTCTCCTTTCCTCTCTCTGAAATCAATAAAAATAAAAAAAAATAAAAAATAAATAAAATTCTTACAGGTCTGATGTTTCTAATGTTGACATATCACATGTTACATGCCGACTGCCACTTTCCAAAGGGAACTGCCCGATAACACACGAGGCAGGGCTTTGCGGGGCCCGCGAAAGCACCGTCGCGAGATCTCGCATAAGACAGATGGCTGGCAATTTCAAACCTAATAAAATAAAATAAAATGCTACCAGTGAGAGGCTTTTCAAAGGGAAACAATGATAAACTCGGGCTCAGAGAGCAATCTACACCCCGACCCTGACGATGAATCTCACCTAATCGGGCCTCTGTGTCCACAGAACAGAACCGACACCGTCGCTGGGGGTGGTCAGAACCGGCCACAGGGCGCCAGCCCAGGCCCGGCTGGGGGACACTCACCGAACACTGTCCTGGCGGGGACGGACTCCCGGTTCAGCCAAAAGGAGACCTGCGACAGGATCACGGTCATGATGCAGGGCAGGTAGGTCTGGATGACAAAGTAGCCGATCTTCCTCTTCAGGTGGAAATGAGCCGTCATGATGGTGTACTCACCTGCAGGCGGGCAAAGCCACGCGTCAGCCCCCCGAGGTCCCGGGGCGTCCCCCAGGTGTGTCCTGCGCCCCCGGACCTGACCTCTCTGCACCTCCCATCTGACCAGCATTTATTTGTATGGTTCGGGCAAAGGAGAGGATGGCAAATGCATGAATTTCTTATTTCGTTTATTTTTTTTAAAGAATAGTTTATTGATTTTGAGAGGAAGAGGCCCGGCCAGGCGAGGCTCAGAGGGTGAGCATCGACCTAGGATCCAGGCGATCGGGGTTTGATTTCCGGTCAGGGCACAGGCCTGGGTTGAGGGCTTGATCAATGACTCTCTCATCATTGCTGTTTCTCTCTCTCTCTCCCTCTCCTTTCCTCTCTCTGAAATCAATAAAGGTAGAGAGGAAGGGAGAGAGAGAAATAGGGATGTGAGAGCACAACACGGGCTGGCAGCCTCCTGCACGCCCCACACCGAGGATGGAGCCCGCAACCCGAGCATGTGCCCTGACGGGGAATCAAACCGGCAACCTTTCGGTGCACCGGACGACGCCCAGCCCATGGAGCCACACTGGCCAGGGCCACACGGGTTTCTTAACGGTCACTGGATAAGTCTCGACCCCCAGCCTCTGAAGAGCCTGTGCTGGCAGATGCGTTTCCCAAGGGAAATCGGATTTCTGCGCTTTCCTAATCCCCGGTCAGTCTGTGCCCCTCCACCCACCCCTCCCTGCTGCTGCTGCCGTCGGGATTCGGGATTTAGCCTCTGCAGACAGAACTGGGGACGTCACAGGGCCCTGCGGTGGCCGGAGGGGATTCGCCCTGTTTCCCAGCCAGGGCGGCTCCAAGGAGCTGGGGGTGACCGCCCCCCACAGGCTCTGTGCTCCTCCTGGGGTGGCGGCAGCTTCCGGAGGCCAGGGCCCGGGGGCTCGTCTCGCCCCGCCTGCCGGGGAGCTCGGGTGCTTCCTCGGAGATGCCCCGGTGCCTCCTCTGGATCTGCCTGGCCGTGTGGGAGGCCCGCGGGGACCTCCCGCTCATGGCTGAGAACGACGCGGCGCTGACGGTGAACTGGTAAGGGGCCTGGCTGCGGGCGGGTGTGGGACGGGCTCTTAGGCTCGGTGCCCTCTCCCTGGCCGCCTGCACTGGCACCTCCCTGGGCGAGGGGCAGGCCGCTTGGAGAAGTGGAAGCAGAGCCCAGACGGAGCTGATCTGAGGGCAAGAGGTCTTTGGCTGAATTTTAAGGAGTAGCCAGTGTGGCTGGGGGAAGGGGGGAAGGGGGTCCACTCCTCTAAAGCCGACCCCGTGTGGCACCATCTATTGAGGGTGGTCTGCAGCTGTGGGCAGAGTCGGGCTCTGGGGACTGATAAATAACAGCTCCCACGCCTGTGGCTGGAACCGAAGGCCGGAGCTCAGCAGGGCCAGCGGATGGTGTCCCTACCTGCCTCTGTCACAGCCCTAAGGCCACAGGGGGAAGATCTGCCCCTTAGACAAAAAGGAGACAGGAGTTCTCAGCGGTGCCTGGGACAGGCCGGACACACTCCGCGCCCCCCACCCCAGCCCCGGGCAGGTGAGAGCAGGTGAGAGGGGCCAGCGGGCTGGTCTGTCCCTCACGGCAGGAAAAACAGACACAAAGGGCTGAGATATGTGCAGAAGCCGGGACTGGACCTCGGTCATGACCGTGGTCCCCTCTCCCGAGAGCGAGGGGCTGCCTTTCTGTTTCTCTGTGGGAGGGTCTGAGATGACGTCCCCGCTGTACCTTCTTCTTCGGTGCTGGTCCTTTTACTTTATTTTTGGACCTAACCCAGCAACATCAGATAACGTCGCAGGGAAACTGCCACCTCTTTAGAACGCAGGCAGGGCGGGAACCTCGCTCGCACAGTCGCGCAGGACTGTCTGAAACAACCCCATCGCCGTCCGTCACCCTCACGGCTGTTTCCTCCCAATTCCTGCCAGGCCACCTTTCCCTGTCCCCATAAAACTGGGTCTGTTTCCTCTTCTTTGGCACCTAACATGGTAACTGCATGTCCCCCCCACACACACCTGCCAGGCCCTCACCTGTCCCCGGGACGCCCAGCATTGGTGGGCAGGGCTAATAGTCCACGTCCCTTCTGCAGCCCCCTGGCGTTGGCGGTGTGGAGAAAGCAGGGTGCTGACCAGGGGCTCCCCTGAGGGTGTCCTCCGGGGATCAGAACTCACGCTGCAATCAGAGCTCACTCCATCCTGTTACTCTTTTCTCCTTGGCTGTCTGGAGGCTCTCTGGAGCCCGGCCCTGCTCACAGCCACGCTTTATGACCCCGACCACCCTGGCCGGGTGCGGCCAGGAGGTATCTAGAGACCCACCCTGCAGCCTGAGGAAGGGGAAGGCGTTTTGTGCCTTTGGACACCTGTTCATTTTGCGTCGGGCGAAACGTCAGGGAAACGGCACCTGTTTGGCTCGGGTCAGCCCTGCGCATGTGGAGTGAGAGCCCCTGCTCTTTGCAGGGCCTCGGTGATTTCTGTGCCGCGTGGCTGTGCTTTCCAAAACTCAAGCCCGGGGGCACCTCTGAAATGCGCAGAGCAGGAGGTAGGGGAGCAGGCGAATGGGGGTATTTGCAGGACGTCAGCTACCCTGCTTGCCGAGACCGTCGCTTGTGTGTCAGTGCTGT